TTATCTGTCACCCCTGACTGGCCGTAGGGAGGGGCTTGGGTAAACTTAATAGTGTGGAGGTCGGAGAGCTGGAGATGGTGAGTAGAAGCAGGCGACCAAAAGAAGGAGAAGGAGAGATGCATCAGAGAGAGGGAGGTGGAGGCTCCCAGAGGTGATTTCGCGCAGGTCCCCCCCGTCACCCCTGACTGATCGTAGGGAGGAGCCGAGCCATGCTGGTGGGTGCCGGGAGGCGGGCGGGAGGGGACGTGCAGAAGGAAGGCGAGCAGAAGAAGGAGATGGAGAGCGGCATCAGAGACCGGGGGGCGGAGGCTCCCAGAGGCAGAGGAGGGGAAGGAGGAGAAGAGAGGAGAAGAGAGAAGAACGGGGAGAGGAGCTTTGTGGGGCCCTGCTTGGGGTCCGGGACTTCCTCTGGGGCTAGTTACCGTTGTGGAGGTCCCCCCTGCCACCCCTAGTCGGCCGTGGGGAGGGGACCCAAGTTTGCTGGCGCTTGCAGGGAGGAGAGGAAAAGCGGGGAAGGGGGAGGGAGGTGAGGAGAAGGAGGAGAACGGCACTGGAGAGAGGAGGAGGAGGCAGAGGAGGAGGAAGAGAAGGCACCCAGAGGAGGAGGCGGAGGAGGAAGAGAAGGCACGCAGAGAGGGGTGGAGGCACCCAGAGGAGGAGGCGGAGGAGGAAGAGAAGCGAGGAGAACAGGGAGAGGGGCATTATGGTGCGCTGCCTGGGGGCCCGAGGTTTCCCCTAAGGCTCCAAGGCTTCGGAGATCCATGGACGGGGCACTTGAGGCTCTCTTGGGAGCTCCTTGGCAACTGTCGGAGTTTCTTGGGAGACTGTGGGCCATGTTGGAGTGGACTGGGGCCTCCGTGGGGTCTGGGGCTTTCTGTGGGGCTTCTAAGAATCCATCAACGGCGAACGGTGCTGGGGCTGGAGGCTCTCGTGGGAGCTCCTTGATAGCTATCGGAGTCTATTCGGATGCTGTAGAGCATTTCGGAGCGGTCCGTCTTAGACAGCTCGTGGGGGTCCCTCCCTGAAGCCGTTTTGGGGCCCTCTTGGGCCGCCTCGGGGGCTTCTTGTGCATCTTCAGGCCATGTTGGGGATCTGGGGCCGTCTTGGGGCCCGCGTTGGGCCCTCTTGGGCAGCTCCTGGGGCCCTCCTGGGGCAATCTTGGGGAGCCACCTGATGCTATATTAGGCCGTCTGGGGCCTGTCCTGAGCCGTCTTCGGGCCCGCTTGGGCTGTCTCTTGTTGCGCTCTTCGGAGCCTTTCGAGCCGTCTTGGGGCGACCTTGGAGGGGCCTAGAGCTGTGTCGGGGGCCGTTCTGAGCTCGTCATGGGGAGAATTCGAAAAACATTGAAAATGTTTAAGCTTTTGCTTGCTGTGTGGCCTCGTGACGCCGTCATCGGGGGCCGGCCTTCGGGCCTCTTGAGCCGCCATGGGGCTCGCTTCGGGTCCTCTTGGGCCGTCCTGCCGCCCTCTGGAGAGCACCAGAGCTGTCCCGGGACCCTCTGGGGCCGGTCTGGGGCCATCGGGGGGGGGAGCCATCGGGGGACCCGCTGGCGCCCCGAGGCGCGCAAGGATCTCGCCCTGCTCGCCATTTTCGCAGCGCTGCTCCCAGAGTCGTAGTACTGCAGCTGACGTCGGGCTTCAGCCTCCCCTCCCGCATCCCGCGGAGCAGCGCCAGAGCCCGCTGCCACTGCTCGCCCTTCTCGCACACGCTGATCCCAGCGTTGTAGCTGACGTTAGGGCTGACCCGTGGACTCCGTCCACGACATCTTTCTGGAATGGTTCTCGGAGGAACGGCGCAGACTGTACCGAAAATCTACAAACACGGCGGCGGCTCGGGCGGCGGCAGCGAGACCGCGCCTTCGTGTCCGAGCTCTTGCAGCGCTGCAGCAGCTTGGCCCAGCGCACTGCTCGTTCACCCCCCTCCTATTGAGGACAGTTTCGAAGTCTCTCGGGGATGTGCGTCGAAGTCGAAGCCCATCTGAGGCGTCTCAGGAGCGCTCGGGGAAGGGCTCGGGAGGCCATCGGGGAAAGCCACCGAAAGCGCCGGGGAGGCTCGCAAGGATCTACAGGGAGGGCCCAAGAGAGCTTCAAGAAAATTCGAAATCTAGTGAACTCTTGAAAGAAACCGCTGTTGGGTCGGCCATCACCTCCGGGCGCGCCTTGATGGTGCGATCCAGTCGCATCACCGCCAACGGGAGGGTTTGTTCGCCATGTCCCATTATGTTCGCCCAGAGGGTCTGTGGAGGCCTTCGGGCGAACAGAACGGGACAGGGCAAGGAATGGGGAAGACATGTCCGAATCTCCTGGGCCCCCCAGATGCTCGTCCGAAGAATGCGGAGAGGTCCCAGGGTCATATCAATTGGCTGCTGTCCCAGGGGTCCGGTCTGCTTGGCCCGAAGAGTTTGCCAAGGCCCCTGGGGGAACAGAATGGCACAGCATATCGGGCAAAGGGGGGCGGTAGCTGGCCTGTCAGACCCGGCGTTCGTCTTCTGCCCAAGCGGCGCGGGGCCCACGGGCCCCAGGGTTGGCGTCCCGCTGGGATTCCTCTTGTTCGCCCACAGGGTTGGAGGAGGCCTCCAGGCGAACAGAATGGGGCAGGACAATGAATGTGGGAGACTTGTCGCAAGCTCCCAGCCCCCCCAAGTGTGCGCCCGAAGGGTGTGGGGCCGCGTTGGCTCCCTCAAAGGGCCGTCTTGGAGCCGTCTAGGCCCGTCTTGAGGGCGCCGTTTGCCCTGATGGGGCCGTCTTGGTTCGTCGTGGGCCCCTCATGGGCGCGTCCGTAGGCCGTCCTGGGCCCATCGGGGTCCTCGTGGGGCTGTCTTGGAGCCGTCTGGGACCGTGAGGAGGCCGCCTTGGAGTCGTCTTGGGCCCCTCCTGTGCGCCTCCTTGGGCCGTCCTGGGCCCAGCAGGGGCCGTGTTGGCACCCTCTTGGGGCTGTCTTGGAGCCGTCTTGAGCCGTCGCAGCGCGCCTTGGGTTGTGCTGGGTCCGTCTTGGCCCGTCTTGGGGCCTTCCTGGGCGGTTCCTCGGACCTTCCTGGGACTTTCTGGGGCCTCTTGGTGCATCGGACCGCCGAAACGGCGGGAAACGCAAAGGGTGTAACAGTAAACAATGGAAAATTAACGACTTTTGCCAGCTGGGACTCTCTTGCCATCTTGGCCCGTCTTGAGGCCCCGAACGGGCGCGTCCTTGGGCCGTCCTGGGCGCACCCTCCTGGGACCGTCTTGGAATCGTCTTGGGCCGTCTTGAGCGCGCCTTGGGCCGTCCTGGGCCGGTCTGGGGCCGTGTTGGCACCCTCGCGGCGAGGAAGCTCGGAGGCGGGCTCGAGGCCTCTTCGGGGCCATTTTGGAAGCTGTTGGGGCCTCTGTAGGGGCCTCGTTTGGGCTCCTTGGGAGCCTCCTGGGGCCTCTTCGGGGGATTCTTGGCGGCCCCTTGGGGCCTCTTGGGGGCCTGTTTGGGCCTCCTGGCGCCCTCTTGGGGCGGAAGGCTCGGATTTTCGGTCCGTGGTCCCCCTCTTGGCCCCCTCTTGGGCCTGTCTTCGGGCCCTCGTGGGCCGTCTTGAGCGTCTCTTGGGTCGTCTTGGGGCCCTCTTGGGCTGTCTTGGGGCGCTCTTGGAAACCTCTTGGGCCGTTCTGGGGCGCTCTTGGAGGCCTCTTGGGCCGTCTTCGAGCGTCGGAAAGCGGAAAAGGCGAGAAGGCCAAAATCCTTCCAAAACCGTCGTAAAGCGGACGATTTTGAGGCCCAAAACCGTCCAAAACCTCCTGAGGCGGTCCCCTCGTCCGCCCCCCTCGCTTCGAAGCAGTTTTTAAGCCCCGTGGCACCTCTTAGGGATCTCTTTGGGGCTCCTGGGGGCCTCTTGGGCCTCCACTGGATTCGCTGCCCTCGGTCGGCAATCGTCGATCCTACGACGACTCTTCCCCAACGGAGAAACATCGAAGGCCCTCGGAGCGTCCAACATTGTTCTTTTGTGCCTTCGATATGCCGGTCGCCTCTCGTCCGCTCCCCCCCTCCTGGAAGCAATTCTGAGGCCACTTAGGGCTTCGTGGGGGCCGTTTGGGGATCTCTTGGGGCGTTTTTGCCTGCGATATGCCTGTCGCCTCTCGTCCGCTCCCCCGCTCCTGGAGGGAATTCTGAAGGCACTGAAGGCTTCGTGGGGGCCGTTTCGGAGCCTCTTCGGCCTTCTTTTGGGCCTCCCGGGGGGGCTCTTAGGGCCCTGTCGGGCCGTCTTGGGTGCCTCTTGGGCCGTCTTGGGGCCGTCTGAGACTCGCCTCGGCGCCTCTTGGGCTGTCTTGGGCCGTCTTGGGCCGCTCCTGGGGCCGTCTTGGGTGCCTCTTGGGGGCGCCTCCTGGGCCGTCCTGGGGCCGTCCTGGGGCGTCCTGGGACCGTCTGGGGGCCCTCCTGGCCCGTCTTGGGGCTCTCTTGGCGTCCTCTTCGGCCGTCTTGGAGCGGTCGGGGGGACTTCTTGGGCCGTCTTGGAGCGTCGGGAAGCCGAAGAGGCGAGGACGCCGAAAACATTGAAAAACACAATAGAAATCAACGATTTCTGTCTCTCGGAGCCCTCTTGGGAGGCCTCTTGGGAGGCCTCTTCGGGCGTCTTGGACGCCTCTTGGGCCGCCTGGGGCGAATCTCGGGCGTCTTGGGCCCATCTTTAAGCGTGCCGGGGCTCTCCGGGGCCGTCTTGGGGGCTTCTGGGGGCCCTCCCGACATGTCCTGGAGCCTGCCTGGGCGGCCCGGGGCGGCCCGGGGCCAGCCCGGGACGGTTTTGAGACATTGAAGCCTGCGCCCTTCTGGCACGCACTGGGCCCTGCAATGTAGTAGAGACTAGGGCAGACCTGTGGACTCCGTCCACGACATCGGCTCGACGTGGCGAGGGGTCTCTGGGCAAGCGCGGGGGGGTGCGGCTGCAGGGCCGAAAGGCAATCATGATGGCGTCGGGCTCCAGCTTGGCTTTCCACATCTCGCAGCAATTCTGAGGCCACTTAGGGCTTCGTGGGGGCCGTTTGGGGATCTCTTGGGGCGTTTTTGCCTGCGATATGCCTGTCGCCTCTCGTCCGCTCCCCCGCTCCTGGAGGGAATTCTGAAGGCACTGAAGGCTTCGTGGGGGCCGTTGCGGAGCCTCTTCGGCCTTCTTTTGGGCCTCCTGGGGGGGCTCTTAGGGCCCTGTGGGCCGTATTGGGGCCGTCTGAGGCCCGCCTCGGCGCCTCTTGGGCTGTCTTGGGCCGTCGTGGGCCGCTCCTGGGGCCGTCTTGGGTGCCTCTTGGGCCGTCTGGGGCGCCTCCTGGGCCGTCCTGGGGCCGTCCTGGGGCGTCTTGGGACCGTCTTGGGGCCCCCCTGGCACGTCTTGGGGCTCTCTTGGCGTCCTCTTCGGCCGTCTTGGAGCGGTCGGGGGGACTTCTTGGGCCGTCTTGGAGCGTCGGGAAGCCGAAGAGGCGAGGAGGCCGAAAACCTCGAAAAACACAATAGAAATCAACGATTTCTGTCGCTCGGGGCCCTCTTGGGAGGCCTCTTGGGAGGCCTCTTCGGGCGTCTTGGACGCCTCTTGGGCCGTCTGGGGCGACTCTCGGGCGTCTTGGGCCCGTCTTTACGCGTGCCGGGGCTCTCCGGGGCCGTCTTGGGGGCTTCTGGGGGCCGGCGGTGTCAGTGGTGCGGACAGAAGCTGTTTCTGACGCCGCAGTCTGTGTTCATCATCATAGCTTCTGCGGGGAGGGTAGACGTGAGAAATTATCTGCTCTTCGCCGGGGCCGAATGATAATGTTATCTGGTAGTGGTGACAATGGGGCCAGTGGGCGCGGCCCAGGAGGCCCGCAAGAGGGCGGCGAGACGGAACTCCCTAAGACGGGCCCCAGTGCGAGGACACGAATCGACCTTTCGGGCGCACCGCCCCAAGACGTTCCCAAATGGCGCAGAGATGGCTCGCAAGGGGTCCAAGAAGCCCCCAAGACGATACTGGAAGTTCGACGCTCCCCAAGAGAGAAGCATCCAATGCCTCTTGGGGGCCTCTTGGGGGCCGCTTGGGGGCCTCTTTTCGTCCTCCTGGGGGTCTCTTGGAGCCCTCTTGGGCAATCTTGAATGCGTCTTGGGCCGTCTTGAGGCGATGTGGGGCCGTCTTAGGCGCCTCTCGGCATCTTGGGACAGTCTTGGAGCCATCTTGGGTAAATATTGGGCGATCTTGGGGCTGTCTTTGGTGTTTCTTGAGCCGTCTCGGGCGCCTCTGGAACCGTCCCGGACGGCCCAGAGATCGTCTTGGAGACTGTCCAAACAGAAAGGCTTGGAGACGGGGCGGTGGGGGCCTCTAAGGTTTTGGAGACGGGGCGGTGGGGCCGTCTTGGGCCATTATTGACTGCTCTTGGGGCTGTCTTGGGTGCGTCCTGGGCCGTCTCGGGCGCCTCTGGAGCCGTTCCGGGGCCGTGCGGGGCCGTTTGGGTACCCTCTTGGGGGCGTCTGGGCGCGTCTTGGGGCGAGCTTGGGGGCCTGTATAGCCGTCTTGGACGTGCGAGGAAGAAAAAGAAAGATATATTGAAAATGTACGTCCTCGTCGGGACTGACGATTTGAACCTCTTGGGGCTCTCCTGGAGGCCCTCCTGGGCCGTCTTGGGAGCCTCCTGGCCTGCCTTGGGGGCCTCTGGGGCTGTCTTGGGGCTCCCAAGGGTGCTCTGAGGCCGTCTTGGCGCCCCCTGGAGCCTCTCGGAGCTGCCCCGTTGGCCATTCTTGGCTGCTCTTGGGGCTGTCTTGGGTGCGTCCTGGGCCGTCTCGGGCGCCTCTGGAGCCGTCCCGGGGCCGTGTGGTGCCCTTTGGGGGCCTCTGGGCGCGTCTCGGGCCAAGGTGGGGGGAGGAGGAGGAGGAGGAGGAGGAGGAGGAGGAGGAGGAGGAGGAGGAGGAGGAGGAGGAGGAGGAGGAGGAGGAGGAGGAGGAGGAGGAGGAGGAGGAGAGGAGGAGGAGGAGGAGGAGGAGGAGGAGGAGGAGGAGGAGGAGGAGAGGAGGAATCCCCCCGCGTCGGGGGACCGCTGGAATCCCCCCGCCTGCAGTCCTATATCACACCAGCCACCGCTCCACCGTGCAAGGAGGAGGAGGAGGAGGAGGAGGAGGAGGAGGAGGAGGAGGAGGAGGGGGAGAGGAAAGGACGAGGGGAGGGAGCAAGAGGAGGAGCAGGAGAGGACACGAGGATGAGGGAGAGGACGAGGAGGGGGAAAAGAGCACAAAGAAATAGCCAAGGCAGAAACTTGGGAACTCCGTGGTTTCCGCTTTTTATTGGTGTGGGCAAGAATAAACGCTATGGGATCTGTTGGGGATATTGGGGGTCTTGCGTCTTCTCCCCTAGTCTTGGGTCTTCACAAACCAATAGCACGTGGGAACCACGGAGTTCCCAAGTTTCTGCCTTGGCTATTTCTGGGAGGCGTCACGGCGAAAACTTGGGAACTCCGTGGCTCCCGCCTTTGTATTGGTTTGGGCAATCGCAAACGCTAGGGGATATTGTCGGTGTTTGTTTATGCTATGTGTTGTGGGATCTCCTGGGGATCTTGGGGGTCTTGGGTCTTCTCCACGAGTCTTGGGTCGTCGTCGTCGTCGTCCTCGTCGTCGTCGTCGTCGCAACGGTTCCCTGGCGTTGCGTTTGGATTTGGCTCAAGATTGCTGCCGTGAAAAGTCGTTTGGCCTCCTAGTGTATCGGGGTGGCCTCGGCGGCGCACAATTATCCACCGCTTCTTGTACATTTTTTTGGCTCCGTGTTTTTGGCTCTTTCAGCCGACTGAAACTCAAAAAAGTCTCTCAAAAAATTGTTGATCTCGAACACCCCTGAGGTTGAAGGAATTTATCCACCTGGACAACTTATGAGCTGGGAGGGGACGCTGTTAATAGGATGAGTCAGAGTACTACCGGGGAGAATTCTCCGAGCCCCAGGGAGTCTGCATAGCCGTCTTGGACGCTGTGAGGACGAAAAAACGGAACATAGTGAAAATGTGCGTTTCCCGTCGGGAATGGGACGGTTTGGGCATCTTCTGGCTCTCCTGGAGGCCCTCCTGGGCCGTCTTGGGAGCCTCCTGGCCTGCCTTGGGGGCCTTTACAGGTGTCTTGGGGCTCCCAAGGGTGCTCTGAGGCCGTCTTTGAGCCCCCTGGAGCCTCTCGGAGCCATCCCAAGGCCGTTTTTGGGCCATCTGCGCCGCGGAGGGCACCCCGGAGGGCCCGGCGGACATTTCAAGACAGAGGACCTTCTGGCACGCCAAGATCGCTGCATTATAGAAGAGACTAAGGCTGACCCGTGGCCTACCGGCCACAAAATCTGTCCGAGGTGGCACGTGATGGCAGGGCAGAAATGATGCCGAAAGAGTTTCGTATTGACGTTGGGCCCGAACTTCGCCTGTGCTGTTGCTGCCTGCAGCTACATGGTGCTGCTGCCTGCGGCATGTTGCTGCTTCTGCGAACTTTGGCTATGTGCTGCAGCTGCTTGCTGCGGAATGCTGCTGCGCTGTTACTACTTGAGGCTGCAGAGTGCCGTTTCTTGGTACCCTTGGCAGCTGACGCAGCCTAGAGTTCGTGAGTGGACCGAGGAGCTGGGAGCGAGGAGCCAGGGTCGAGGAGGGGGGAGAGGCAGCGAGGAGCGATCAGGGAGCAAGGAGTAAGGAGCGAGAAGGGAAGCAACGGCCGAAAAGAGAAAAAGAGAAAGAGAGAGAGAGAGAGGCGAGGAGGGACGAGAGAGAGCCGAAGGGAGCGGCAGACGCCAGTAGCCAAGAGTGAGAAGGGAGGGGCCAGGGGAGAGGTGGGAGGGGCGAGGAGAAAGAAGAGAGGAGCCAGGGGCGAGGAGAGAGAGAGAGAGAGAAAAAAACAGAGAGAGAGCGAGAGAGAGAGAGAGAGTCCAGGAGCGACGAGGGAGCGGCGAGGCGCGTGGAGCAAGGAGCAGGGGGGCGTGAGAAAAGAGGCCAGCACACGCATGTCTCCATGGCCTCCGCGTGTGTGGCCGAATATCTGATCTCCCCTTGGGTCGCCGACGGGGCTCTCTGGGGGTGGCTGGCGCGGTCACACTACTCTACATAAGGGATCTTCCCTCGGAAGCCTCTGTGAGGCGGCGTGGCCCTCCTGGGCCTGATTTGGGCCCGATTTGGGCCTCGTGCGGGCCTCCTGGCGCTTCTGAAGGGCATCTGGGGGATCTGCTGGCGGTCTCGGGGGGCCATCTTGGGGCGGAGGGTGCGACATGCTAGTTCCAAATTCCCCTTCTTCGGGGCCCTCTTGGGTCCCTCTTGGGGTCGTCAGGGGCCGTCTTGGGTCCCGGGGCCAGCCGCCTTGAGGCCCATCCGGGCTGCCGAGGAGAACGTCGGAATCCTTCCGAGAAGCCAGAGGAAGTAGATCATGCTGGCCTCTCTGGGCCCTCTTAGGGGGGGCATCTCGGGACTTTCTTGGGCCGCCCTGGGGGCCTCCAGGGCCGTTGGGGCGCCTCTTGGGCCGTCTCTGGGCCCCGCTGGGGCGTCTTGGGGGCGTGGCCCCCGGAGCCCTCTTTGGTCCCTCGTGGGACCGTCCGGGGCCGTCATTGGGTCCCTCCCGAGGCCGCTGCGGGGCCCCCTGGGGCTGCCTGGGGGGCTCCCTTCGGCGCCTCGGGGACCGCCCTGGGGCGGCATCCGACGCCACCACGTCGGATCGGACACCCAGGCAGGCAAGCATGTCGAAATCCTGGAAGGAGCCGTGGGGAACCGCTGATTTCGGCTGCGCTGGGCCCTCCTGGGGGGGGGGCGCCTCTCGGGGCTCTCCTGGGCCGTCTCTCGGGGGCCTCCTGGACCGCTGGGGCCATACTGTGTGCCGCCTCGGCCGTCCCCGGTCTGGGCCATGTAGGGGGGCCTGGCCCGAGGCCCTCTTGGGGCCCTCTTGGGTCCCTCTCGGGGCCGTCATGGGCCGTCTTGGGTCCCTCTTGGCCCGCCTTGAGGCCCTCTCGGGCTGCCTGGGGGCCCTCTTGGAGGGCTGTTGGGCCGCCTTGGGGCGGTGTTGGGGGCATCTTGGGCTGTCACGTAGCGCTGGAAGTCCGATAAGGCGAGAACGTCGAAATCCTTCAGAAAGTATAAGAAATAAATAATGTTGGCTTCTCTGGGCCCTCTGGGGTCTGGGGGGGGGCCTCTTGTGGGCCGTCTTGCGGGCCTCCCGGGCTGTTGGCACCGTCTTGGGCGCCTCCTCGGCCGTCTTTGAGCCCCGCAGGGCCGTGCAGGGGGCGTGGCCCGAGGCCCGCAGGGCAGCCGGAACTTCTCCGGGAGCGCTTTTCGGCCTCCACGGGCCTCTCGTAGGTCGAAAAACGCGATTGGTCCACAGCACCTTCTCGCACGCTGAGGTTCGGGCGTTGTAGAAGAGACTAAGGCTGACCCGTGGCCTACCGGCCACAATCCGTGACGTCACGTTGGACCAGGGCAGAAACGTTAAGTCTTTCGTGATGACCTTGGGCCCAAACTTCGCCTCTGCTGTTGCTGCAGGATGGTGCTGTTGTTCTGCTACGGATTGCTGTTGTTCGCTGCTGCTGATTGACGCTGCAGAGTGCTGCTTCTTGGTACCCTTGCTAGATGGCGCAACCTGCAGCTCGTCAGTAGAGCGAGGAGCGAGGAGCAAGGAGCGAGGAGTCAGGGTCGAGTGGGTCAATGGGGGAAGCGAGGAGCGATCAGCGAGGAGCGCGGAGCGAGACGGGAGGAGCGTCGGCCGAGGAGATAGAGAGGCAAGGAAGGATGGTGAGGGAGAGCCGACGAGGAGGGGGGGGGAGACGCCAGTAGCCAGAAGGAGGAAGCGAGGTGCCAGGAGAGAGAGATGTGGAAGGAGCGAGGAGGAGTGATAAGAGAGGAGCCAGGAGCGAGGAGAGGGAGGCGAGGGGCGAGGAAAGAGTGCGGAGGAGCGAGTAGCGTGGAGCGAGAAGCAAGGAGCGAGAAGGGAAGCGTGAGAAAAGACCATGACTCCATGGCCTCGGCGCGCGTGTGGCCGAACATCTGGTCTCCTCTTGGGTCGCTCATGGGGCTCTCTTGGGTGGCTGGCGCGGTCACAATACTCTATAAGGGATCTTCCCTCGGAAGCCTCCTCGGAAGCCTCCTCGAGGCGGTTTCGGGAATGCCTTGAGGCCTCTCGGGGCCCTCTTGGGGGCCTCCTGGGGCCTGGTTTGGGCGTCTCGGGGTTCTCTTGGGGCTTCTGGGGGGCCAGTTCGAATTTCCCCTCTTGGAACTATCTTGGGGTCCTCTTGGGCCGTCTTGGGCGCTTCTCGGGCCGTCTTGGGGCCCTCTTGGGCTGTCTGGGGGGCCTCTTGGGGGCACGTTGGGCCGTCTTGAGGCGATATTTGAAGCCTCTCTTGGGCCGCCTTGGAGCGTCGAAAGCCCGAATGAGCAAAACCTCCAAAATCCTTGAAAAACATTCTTGGGAAATGAACGATTTGAGCCTTTCGGAGCCCTCTTGGGGGGCCTCTTGAGGGGCCTCTTGGAGCCCTCTTGGGCCGTCTTGGAGCCTGCTGGGCCGTCTGAAGGCCACGTTGGCGACCTCTTGGACCGTCTAGAGGCGTCTCGGACTATCTTGGGCCGTCTTGCCATCTGGGGCTCTCCAGAGCCTTTCAGGACGCCCACTGAGGCTCTCCAGGTGCGCCCCAGAGCTACTGCCCCCCACTCGGTGCCCAGACCCTTCTCGCACACATTTGCCCCAGTGATGTACAGATGATGACGTTGGGCTCCAGCTTCGCCTCCCGCATCTCGCTGAGAAGCACCAGCGCCCGCTGCCACTGCCCACCCTTCCTGCACGCGCTGATCCCAGCGCTGTAGCTGACTAGGGCTGACCCGTGGACTCCGTCCACGACATCTTTCTGGAATGGTTCTCGCAGGAACGGCGCAGATTGTACCGAAAACCCACAAACACGGCGGCGGCTCGGGCGGCGGCAGCGAGACCGCGCCTTCGTGTCCGAGCTCTTGCAGCGCTGCAGCAGCTTGGCCCAGCGCACTGCTCGTTCACCCCCCTCCTATTGAGGACAGTTTCGAAGTCTCTCGGGGATGTGCGTCGAAGTCGAAGCCCATCTGAGGCGTCTCAGGAGCGCTCGGGGAAGGGCTCGGGAGGCCATCGGGGAAAGCCACCGAAAGCGCCGGGGAGGCTCGCAAGGATCTACAGGGAGGGCCCAAGAGAGCTTCAAGAAAATTTGAAATCCAGTGAACTCTTAAGAGAAACCGCTGTTGGGTCGGCCATCACCTCCGGGCGCGCCTTGATGGTGCGATCCAGTCGCATCACCGCCAACGGGAGGGTTTGTTCGCCATGTCCCATTCTGTTCGCCCAGAGGGTCTGTGGAGGCCTTCGGGCGAACAGAACGGGACAGGGCAAGGAATGGGGAAGACATGTCCGAATCTCCTGGGCCCCCCAGATGCTCGTCCGAAGAATGCGGAGAGGTCCCAGGGTCATATCAATTGGCTGCTGTCCCAGGGGTCCGGTCTGCTTGGCCCGAAGAGTTTGCCAAGGCCCCTGGGGGAACAGAATGGCACAGCATATCGGGCAAAGGGGGGCGGTAGCTGGCCTGTCAGACCCGGCGTTCGTCTTCTGCCCAAGCGGCGCGGGGCCCACGGGCCCCAGGGTTGGCGTCCCGCTGGGATTCCTCTTGTTCGCCCACAGGGTTGGAGGAGGCCTCCAGGCGAACAGAATGGGGCAGGACAATGAATGTGGGAGACTTGTCGCAAGCTCCCAGCCCCCCCAAGTGTGCGCCCGAAGGGTGTGGGGCCGCGTTGGCTCCCTCAAAGGGCCGTCTTGGAGCCGTCTAGGCCCGTCTTGAGGGCGCCGTTTGCCCTGATGGGGCCGTCTTGGTTCGTCGTGGGCCCCTCATGGGCGCGTCCGTAGGCCGTCCTGGGCCCATCGGGGTCCTCGTGGGGCTGTCTTGGAGCCGTCTGGGACCGTGAGGAGGCCGCCTTGGAGTCGTCTTGGGCCCCTCCTGTGCGCCTCCTTGGGCCGTCCTGGGCCCAGCAGGGGCCGTGTTGGCACCCTCTTGGGGCTGTCTTGGAGCCGTCTTGAGCCGTCGCAGCGCGCCTTGGGTTGTGCTGGGTCCGTCTTGGCCCGTCTTGGGGCCTTCCTGGGCGGTTCCTCGGACCCTCCTGGGACTTTCTGGGGCCTCTTGGTGCATCGGACCGCCGAAACGGCGGGAAACGCAAAGGGTGTAACAGTAAACAATGGAAAATTAACGATTTTTGCCAGCTGGGACTCTCTTGCCATCTTGGCCCGTCTTGAGGCCCCGAACGGGCGCGTCCTTGGGCCGTCCTGGGCGCACCCTCCTGGGACCGTCTTGGAATCGTCTTGGGCCGTCTTGAGCGCGCCTTGGGCCGTCCTGGGCCGGTCTGGGGCCGTGTTGGCACCCTCGCGGCGAGGAAGCTCGGAGGCGGGCTCGAGGCCTCTTCGGGGCCATTTTGGAAGCTGTTGGGGCCTCTGTAGGGGCCTCGTTTGGGCTCCTTGGGAGCCTCCTGGGGCCTCTTCGGGGGATTCTTGGCGGCCCCTTGGGGCCTCTTGGGGGCCTGTTTGGGCCTCCTGGCGCCCTCTTGGGGCGGAAGGCTCGGATTTTCGGTCCGTGGTCCCCCTCTTGGCCCCCTCTTGGGCCTGTCTTCGGGCCCTCGTGGGCCGTCTTGAGCGTCTCTTGGGTCGTCTTGGGGCCCTCTTGGGCTGTCTTGGGGCGCTCTTGGAAGCCTCTTGGGCCGTTCTGGGGCGCTCTTGGAGGCCTCTTGGGCCGTCTTCGAGCGTCGGAAAGCGGAAAAGGCGAGAAGGCCAAAATCCTTCCAAAACCGTCGTAAAGCGGACGATTTTGAGGCCCAAAACCGTCCAAAACCTCCTGAGGCGGTCCCCTCGTCCGCCCCCCTCGCTTCGAAGCAGTTTTAAGCCCCGTGGCACCTCTTGGGGATCTCTTTTGGGCTCCTGGGGGCCTCTTGGGCCTCCACTGGATTCGCTGCCCTCGGTCGGCAATCGTCGATCCTACGACGACTCTCCCCAACGGAGAAACATCGAAGGCCCTCGGAGCGTCCAACATTGTTCTTTTGTGCCTTCGATATGCCGGTCGCCTCTCGTCCGCTCCCCCCCTCCTGGAAGCAATTCTGAAGCCACTTAGGGCTTCGTAGGGGCCGTTTGGGGATCTCTTGAGGCGTTTTTGCCTGCGATATGCCTGTCGCCTCTCGTCCGCTCCCCCGCTCCTGGAGGGAATTCTGAAGGCACTGAAGGCTTCGTGGGGGCCGTTTCGGAGCCTCTTCGGCCTTCGTTTGGGCCTCCCGGGGGGCTCTTAGGGTCCTCTCGGGCCGTCTTGGGTGCCTCTTGGGCCGTCTTGGGGCCGTCTGAGACCCGCCTCGGTGCCTCTTGGGCTGTCGTGGGCCGTCTTGGGCCGCTCCTGGGGTCGTCTTGGGTGCCTCTTCGGCCGTCTTGGGCGCCTCCTGGGCCGTCCTGGGGCCGTCCTGGGGCGTCTTGGGACCGTCTGGGGGCCCTCCTGGCCCGTCTTGGGGCTCTCTTGGGGTCCTCTTCGGCCGTCTTGGAGCGGTCGGGGGAGCTTCTTGGGCCGTCTTGGAGCGTCGGGAAGCCGACGAGGCGAGGAGGCCGAAAACATCGAAAAACACATTAGAAATCGACGATATCTGTCGCTCGGAGCCCTCTTGGGAGGCCTCTTGGGAGGCCTCTTCGGGCGTCTTGGACGCCTCTTGGGCCGCCTGGGGCGAATCTCGGGCGTCTTGGGCCCGTCTTTAAGCGTGCCAGGGCTCTCCGGGGCCGTCTTGGGGGCTTCTGGGGGCCCTCTCGACATGTCCTGGGGCCTGCCTGGGAGGTTCTCGGAGGAACGGCGCAGATTGCACCGAAAATCTACAAACACGGCGGCGGCTCGGGCGGCGACAGCGAGACCGCGCCTTCGTGTCCGAGCTCTTGCAGCGCTCCAGCAGCTTGGCCCAGCGCACTGCTCGTTCACCCCCCTCCTATTGAGGACAGTTTCGAAGTCTCTCGGGGATGTGCGTCAACGTCGAAGCCCATCTGAGGCGTCTCAGGAGCGCTCGGGGAAGGGCTCGGGAGGCCATCGGGGAAAGCCACCGAAAGCGCCGGGGAGGCTCGCAAGGATCTACAGGGAGGGCAGCACAAGAGAGCTTCAAGAAAATTCGAAATTCTTAAAATCTTTAGAGAAACCGCTGTTGGGTCGGCCATCACCTCCGGGCGCGCCTTGATGGTGCGATCCAGTCGCATCACCGCCAACGGGAGGGTTTGTTCGCCATGTCCCATTCTGTTCGCCCAGAGGGTCTGTGGAGGCCTTCGGGCGAACAGAACGGGACAGGGCAAGGAATGGGGAAGACTTGTCCGAATCTCCTGGGCCCCCCAGGTGCTCGTCCGAAGAATGCGGAGAGGTCCCAGGGTCATATCAATTGGCTGCTGTCCCAGGGGTCCGGTCTGCTTGGCCCGAAGAGTTTGCCAAGGCCCCTGGGGGAACAGAATGGCACAGCATATCGGGCAAAGGGGGGCGGTAGCTGGCCTGTCAGACCCGGCGTTCGTCTTCTGCCCAAGCGGCGCGGGGCCCACGGGCCCCAGGGTTGGCGGCCCGCTGGGTTTCCTCTTGTTCGCCCACAGGGTTGGAGGAGGCCTCCAGGCGAACAGAATGGGGCAGGACAGTGAATGTGGGAGACTTGTCGCAAGCTCCCAGCCCCCCCAAATGTTGCGCCCGAAGGGTGTGGGGCCGCGTTGGCTCCCTCAAAGGGCCGTCTTGGAGTCGTCTAGGCCCGTCTTGAGGGCGCCGTGTGCCGTGATGGGGCCGTCTTGGTTCGTCGTGGGCCCCTCATGGGCCGTCGGTAGGCCGTCCTGGGCCCATCGGGGTCCTCGTGGGGCTGTCTTGGAGCCGTCTGGGACCGTGAGGGGGCCGCCTTGGAGTCGTCTTGGGCCCCTCCTGTGCGCCTCCTTGGGCCGTCCTGGGCCCAGCAGGGGCCGTGTTGGCACCCTCTTGGGGCTGTCTTGGAGCCGTCTTGAGCCGTCGCAGCGCGCCTTGGGTTGTGCTGGGTCCGTCTTGGCCCGTCTTGGGGCCTTCCTGGGCGTTTCCTCGGACCCTCCTGGGACTTTCTGGGGCCTCTTGGTGCATCGGACCGCCGAAACGGCGGGAAACGCAAAGGGTGTAACAGTAAACAATGGAAAATTAACGATTTTTGCCAGCTGGGGCTCTCTTGCCATCTTGGCCCGTCTTGAGGCCCCGACCGGGCGCGTCCTTGGGCCGTCCTGGGCGCACCCTCCTGGGACCGTCTTGGAATCGTCTTGGGCCGTCTTGAGCGCGCCTTGGGCCGTTCTGGGCCCGTCTGGGGCCGTGTTGGCACCCTCGCGGCGAGGAAGCTCGGAGGCGGGCTCGAGGCCTCTTTGGGGCCATTCTGGAAGCTGTTGGGGCCTCTGTTGGGGCCTCGCTGTTGGGGCCTCGTTTGGGCTCCTTGGGAGCCTCCTGGGGCCTCTTCGGGGGATTCTTGGCGGCCCCTTGGGGCCTCTTGGGGGCCTGTTTGGGCCTCCTGGCGCCATCTTGGGGCAGAAAGCTCGGATTTTCGGACCGTGGTCCCCCTCTTGGCCCCCTCTTGGGCATGTCTTCGGGCCCTCGTGGGCCTTCTTGAGCGTCTCTTGGGTCGTCTTGGGGCCCTCTTGGGCTGTCTTGGGGCGCTCTTGGAAACCTCTTGGGCCGTTCTGGGGCGCTCTTGGAGGCCTCTTGGGCCTTCTTCGAGCGTCGGAAAGCGCAAAAAGGCGAGAAGGCCAAAATCCTTCCAAAACCGTCGTAAAGCGGATGATTTTAACACCCAAAACCGTCCAAAACCTCCTGA